TTCTATTGATTTTTCAATTAAAATCCAAATTTCCAACCGATATCCGTTGGAATTTTTTTAAAAAATTTTCAAAAAAATTTCCAACCGGCATCCGTTGGAATTCGGTTGGAATTTTTTTTAAAAAAATTTCCAAAAAAAATTCCAACCGGCATCCGTTGGAATTCCGTTGGAATTTTTTTAAAAAATTTCCAACCGGCATCCGTTGGAATTGTTTTCTAACAAACATCCGTTGGAACTCCGTTAAAAATTTGCAACCGATTTTTCTAACGTTAATCCGTTGAAAATTTCCAACGGATATCTGTTGGAAATACCGTTGGAAATTTCCAACCCAATTTTTCAATTGAATACGTTGAAAATTCCGTTAAAAAATTTCCAACGGGTGTTTCCAACGGATACCCGTTGGAAATTTTCAACGGAAATCGTCGTTGAAACGCCGTTGAAAACCGTTGAAAATCCGTTGGAAATTTTCCAACGGACAAATCCGTTGGAAAATCCGTTGGAATTCGAGGATTTTTTTGTAGTGAACATACACACCCATGTGACCATCGCCACAGGGTAAATCCATCAAATCCCCATCACGCAATATTACTGACTTCGTCGACAGCCGGTCTAGTCCACGTGACACGTCAGGTAATCCTAGAGGTATGGTACTAACTCATTCGTCCAGCGATACCAACACAAGCCCTCGCCAAAATAGTCGTGTTGATTCTGGCGTCAACCGACATCGATTACTTGGTTCCTCGGTACTCATCCATGTATCAATACTGATTCGATCATCCACCGGTACTGACTGTGTGACTTACTGGATTCTGACCAACATAGTGGTATTGACTCTATTCGTCTACCGGTGCAATGTGATACACACATCTCTCGTAGTAGTACTAACTCCCGTCGTCCATCGGTACTATCTATGAAAACATATCCAACACATGCAGAACATTGATTCGTTTGTCCACCGGTACTAGCTCCACATCACATTACTTGCATAGGGGAGTTCATCATTCTCTCGTACTTTTAGATTCAAGAGTCCGTACAAGAACTCAGAACACTCATTTTCAATCACATTTACGACATTTGAGCATCAGAAGACGAGAGATCTACACATATGGGGCTAGTAGATTTGATTGTGGTGTCATGATCTGATACCAAATCAGCTTTCTAATATTCTCTATGTTTTCCATATTGTTTAGATCTATCATACCGTCTCTTTGTCTTATGATTTTTGAGTAGTTCTATTGTTGTAGGCTACTGGTTTAGCTTGTTATAGATATGTTTGGTTTTATTATACTATATCTCGTATTTTTAATTCTTTCAGTTTTGTGTGTTATGCTTAATAGTTTCATCATATTGATCACATGTATAAATGAATCTAAAGTTAAATCTGCAAATGAATTTGAGATTTCAATTTAGAACGAGTTCACAAAATAAATCTGGTGAAAGTATTCGAAGAATGGTTAACCAAATTAAGAAATTAGATAGGGAACAATAAAGTATTTAGGCATTCCCCTAGCGATTTTGAGGATGACAGGAGGAATGATCAAGATAGGGGACAAGTATTCAGAACGATCATTCATAAATTAGAAGGTGAAGTTTTCCAAATAGAATTAGGACGAGAATATCATCATCCTTAGAAACTATTCTACACAACTAGACGATCTCGAACCTACAGTGTTTCGTTATGGATTAGCAATCCAACGCTTTAGTCCACTCAGCCACCTGTAGTCGATCCTAGTACGACAATCAATACATATATCATTGTGGATTCATTTCCTTGTTTATTTCTTGTATCAAATTTATCCACCTATGATGTATGACAATCAAGATTCAATTGATTGTTATTAAAAAAATATTATTGATAACATTTTTTGAGAAAATCCCAGCTAAATACCTGAATTTTTACAAAATTCGCAGATAAATATCTGGACTATAAAATTCTCAGATAAATACTTGAACTTTTCAAAACTTCCACATAAATATTCAAACTTTTAAAAATTTACTAAATAAAATAATATTCGTTGACGGCGTCAGAATGCTAAGTCATCAATTATCGACGGATTTTGTTTTAAGTTAACGTCGTTAATGGATTTTGGTTTATTTGGTAAATTTTTAAAAGTTTGGATATTTATGTGGAAATTTTGAAAAGTTCAAGTATTTATTTAAGAATTTTAAAGTTCACGTATTTATTTGGGAATTTTGAAAATATATGTGATTTTCTCATAAATCTAATATAAAAATTGTGTTTAAAGAAAATTGTAAAAAAAAAATCATCGCATAGGCCAGATGAAAGAATGTTAGAAATACACATGATCCATGGAATTTGGGTTTTGGGGTCTAATATTATATTAGGCTCTTTGATGAATTAGAGCTAACTAAGTATTTAAAGTCTATGGACATTATTGGAAATCCTCTATGTTCTTATCCTAAAATTTTTTAAAAAAATGCTTTGTTCAATCTATTAGAAAAAGTAATAAAAATCCCGAGACATGGGGTGTTCTATCAAAATTTGAATGATTCGGATTTTAGATTTGGAATCCCATATAATTTCCGGATGTGTCAAGTACCTCGCGAATATCCCAAATGTTCGAGTATCCGAGAATATGAGTGTGAGGGTGAGGATTTGGAATCGAGGAGAAAAGCTATCGGCATTCATAAAGTGACAAATGATATGATAGGAAGTGCTATCGGATAAATCTCTAACATAGAAGTTTTATATGGAGACAGATTCTATTGGATAAGGTTGCAATAGACACCTTATACAAATAGTCATCACTCACATAGATATGAAACTTGGATGCTTTCGTCCCTGCAAGATTTTTTTCCCAAAGACAGATATATACATATACATATACGTACATACATATATATGTATTGTGGAAAGAAGAAGAAGAAGAAGAAGGAGACCCATCTAAAGAGAGAGTGTTGTCGATAGTGAAGCCACAGTGTTGATGCATCATATTATATACTCTTCTTGGTTGCGGATTCTCCGCCCATGTTTTTCTGCACTTGCAACGTCATTGATAGCATATCAATATATGTACACACAAAAAATGTGAATTTATGTATAAAATCCAGTTTGGTGCGATTTAGTTTATATATATCAATATATAAAATACATGAGAAAAAATAATACTCCAATTCCATTTGAATTTCTCAAATTCAATATAGTGAGCAAAAGAAAATCGTTTCGCATTTCAAAACACACTTAAAGAACACAATGTACTTTCTTATTTGTTATATTACCAAACACATACTGGACACCGAAATAATATATATATATATATATATATATATATATAGAGAGAGAGAGAGAGAGAGAGAGAGATCTGAAAGAAGCAAAATGTGAAGGATATTATGAGAAAAAACAAAATGGTTTTCACCCCTTAATTAGGTGTAGTTTAATGAAAAAGATGTAAAATCTCGTCACCAAACACATTGGATTAGTGTCATTTCTAGGGTTTATTAAATCATTAACCCCGCATTTGAAATTACAGCATTTTCTTTAAAACGAGAGAGAGAGAGAAAGAGATCTGACCGAGGATTGAGCGGAGAGAGGCTCGAGTTTAAAGGAGTGTAGGGTCAGCGACAATTTAGCGATGTCGGAGACGGCGGCGTTTCGAGCCTCGGGTGAGTCGTTCACGAGACACTCGTACGCCGCATCAAATGCCTCTCGCCAGAACCTCGGCAGCATCACCCGGCCCCCGCGCCCGGCGCCGCGTGCATACACGTCCCACATCATCCTCACCACCTTCTCTCTCTCCTCCACTTCCTACCAGTTTTTCGTTTTGTTCATATAAACACCAACGAGAAAAAAGTCAATGCAATCACAAAAGACGCCCAATACATATAGGTTGATTCATATATATATACATACGAGGGTGTCAACATCGTCACCGCCGGAAATGTAACAGAGGCCTCCGCCGCCGCAGCTGCCGAAGAAACCCTTGAGGGAGACAGAGCCGGTGAAGACGGACCACAGAGCCAAGAGGAGAATTGCCATCAGAAGCCATAGCTTGAAGCCGGTGGTGATTCTCACGCCGCTGACAGGATTTCTAATTCTCATTGCAGCAAAGAAAGCTGCCGACGAAGATGACGACGGTCTCTGAGATTCTTTGTCCATTTCTACCGATCTTAAAAACAACCTCCCTGTTTTTTTTTTTTTTTTTTTTTTTTTTTTTTTCGAATGTTTGTGTGCAGGAGGAGATAGATATAAGAGTTTGGGGTGATTTCATTAAACTTAAAAATTGGAGAACTATGATAAATATTTTTATTTTATTTTATTTAAAAAATGTAGAAGATTCGAAAAGGGTCATTATTAAAGATGTCATTATAATCCGGTTCTTACTTCAGTGTATATCCTTTCTATTAAAAAAAAACATCTTCTTCAACTGGTAATTATAAACTTACTCTTTACAACTCAAGGAAAAAAACTTTTTATTTTTTGGTTTACAAATTAAACCTTGTACTTGATGTGATTAACCCAAAAAATCCCGAACTTTTCAAAAATTCGTCGAAAACTCCTCACCTATGTCAACTCAAACAAAAATGATGATTTGACAATGACATGATATCCAAGTCATATACACATCATCATTTGAAACAAAATTTAAATTGAATAATTTATTTAAATTAATATATATATACATACAAATTCACACATATATATTAAATATAAATTTACTTATAACTAATAAAACACGAAAGCCCGGTACCTGAAAAACCTGTATCAATCCAAATCGAATCGTTCAAAAATTTAAACGGTAACGTTTCTAAATAATTGAATTGATTTTTTTTTAAAACCCAAAAAATATATTTTTTTTTTTAAATATAGATTTTTCTTAATAGATATCGAAATTGGATATAATATAATAACCGGTTAGTTTATATTTTTGTATAGTCGAATACTCAAATGTTCACTCCTATTTTATGTGTATAATATTTATAACTATACATGTATATAAGTAGTATGTAAATGGGTTAAACGGGGTTATTGGGTCGGCTCAATCCAACCCATTATTATTATTAGATCAACCCAATCCAACCCTTAATTCTTTCGATTCGAATGGATTGGGTCCAAATGGGTTGGGTTCGCCCATTTGACATCACTATAAAAACTACCTCTAAAAATTACAATTTCTAATTTACCCTTAACCTTTTAATCAATTTAATATATATATTTCTCTATTCTTTCTTCTCTCTACATATTATTTTCTCTCTTCACACATTTTTAGTTACTAGATGAACATTTTCATACTATCGAGGAGTTGCACCAACGTATTTCAACTCCCTTTGCTCTGCTTTGTATGGAAAGTTGATCCAAATAAGCATTCCGGAGCAAAAATGGCGCTAAGCCTCTAGCTCGCTTTTCATGGAGTTTCAGACGCCTTCTTAAACTTAGGACATTTGCCAAACCCTTTGCCGAGGCAGAGATTGACAATGGATCCACTACCTTTTTAAGTGAGTCGGGGCCAACAGAACTTGGAATCCCAAAAAATGCATGTGTCTAGTCTGCTTTCCAAGATAACCGATGGATGCTCTCCCTAATTTTCGATCTGAATCCACCCATGTACTGGGAATTTGTTTAGAGGTAGACAAGGCAGATAAGCACTTGTGGACAGTCAACGACGTAATCTCAGACAAATGTCCACCAAGAGCCATTTCGAATACAATACGGCAACGCGGCCACTCAATTCGTTGTGTTCCTTACTATGGTCCAAGGGCTCTCTATCCCTAAGTATGCTTTTACTCTTTGGGTATTTAGGTTTTAGGTTTTGGAGATTCCTAAACATAAGTTCACAACGGTTTATTGGGTTCCAATATCGGAATTTACGCAGCGGAATTATATGAACGAGACCCAATCAACAGATCTAGCATGAATCGATAAAAGTATCGATATACTAATCTGATTCGATTCAATGGCTTGTCACAAAACACTAAAATCAACGTTCTCCATATCTAGCCAACACTCACGGGATTGTGTGTCCGGTAAATTGCGATCTCGAAGTTGGGAACGAAAAATCGAGAATCTCCCAAAGAGAGACGACGACTAGAGAGAGAGGAGAAAAAAAACTTTTTTTTTCCTTTAATCCTAATTATATTTTTCAAATATAATTATAAAGAAGTTTAGGGTTTGTAACTTTTGTTAAACCAATTGAGTTTAGTGGTCTTTATGTTAACCATTAAGATTCATTAGTCTTATTAATAAATGTATGGGTATATTGGGTCACCTAAACCTATCCAATGGATCGTGTTTGAGTAGAGCGTCATATTTGTCATGAGTATTCATGTTAAGTAGGAATCTTACAAAGGATAGACTTTTCGCGTGGGGATTGAATGCTTCACCAAATTGTCTGCTTTGCAACACTGGATCAGAAACCCGAGATCACTGGCTTTTTGAATGTGGTTATGCCTGCTCGATATGGAAGAAGGTGTGTTTCTGACACAAATTCGGAAATGTACCCCATGTATGGGAAGATGTAGTTGCTCGGTTACAAAGGGTTTGGGATGAAGGGGAGTCCCCCAACCTAGTGGTTAATGACAACTTCTCTCTACCATGAGGTTGTGGGTTCGAATCCCAGGTATGATACTCCCCTTGAACCGGTCAGCTTTACGAAGCTGTTTACCTGCTCTGCGTGGTTTGCCGGCTACTGCGTAGGGCGGTGGATTTTCTCAGGTCCGCGATGTTGTCTTGATGTCGTTCTCGTCCGGCCTATGGACTGAGAGGCGTTGCGGTATCCGGTGTCCGACCGAAGGGTTATAGGATAGGGGTTTTCCGATCGTAACAAAAAAAAAAAGGTTTGGGATGACAAGATCTCCAAGACGATTGGGCTACTATTAGTATGGCAAATGGTGATGCACCACATATGGCGCGAGCGCAATCTTCCTTTGCACCAAAGCCATTTTCACTGATACGGAAGCAAGCTTCAAAGGGCTTGATTAGACTCTACGTCGCATTGCGGCTTCATAGATACAATGAACATGAACCGAAAATGGGTACAAGCTTGCGGACAAAACCAGTGATCCACTTGCCACCTTAATTTAGACACTTGACGGTTAAATATTTAGCATATTACACACGTGTGATATATGAATAAAACAAAATAGGAAAGGAGATAGACACGACAATGTCCAGTGTGGACTTGCATGGCTGTTACACACTCCTTTTTAACATCACTCGGTACATATACATTGCACCCACTTTCCCTCTTATATTTTTTGACGCAATCTCTGTCTTCTTCCCTTTTAATTATAATATTAATTTCTAGTTCAAAGTATAAAATAGTTTGTTTTCGATTTATTGCAGTTTAACATACTGGTTAAGGTCCAATTTATGTTGTAATACCTAGATTGATGGATCGAAATTACCTATCCACACCAAAATATCATTTTTTTATGTAAATTTCTGGGATATATATATATATATATATCTTTGTGTATGTATAGTTAACTATAATAAATTTATAATTGCACCTAATCTTAGAGTGGTTCAACCCGACAAAAAAGAAGCAAAATTTCTTTTCAATCCAAATTCGAATTTTGATTTGAAGAGAGACATTCATATAAAAACTTCTACATTATAAAAATAATAATAATTGCTGAATTGAGGAAGAATTCCTTGAAGAAAGAAAATATATCCTATTCTTGTATAAATATATATACACGTACACATGTGCACAGCTAAAATCTATATATTACACTGGTTATCAAGCATATATCCCCCAATTATTTTTATTGTTATTACTATAATTATTTAGGGTATGTGTATCCAACTATAAAGCTGTCACATTTCACCAAGGGAAAGAGACGAATTCCAACCAGAGTCATCGAACATGGATATATCATCCCTAACCCATGGAAACCCTAATGAAATTGTAGCTTCTTCCCATATAGAATCATCTATGACAGGCAAATCCACGCTCATATGCTCCCATATGCCCTCCTTACTTCGCCACATACTCCGATCTCCATCCTCCGAGGAACTCGAAGACAACGACAACGACCCTACAGAGTATTCTCCGACCAAACCATCAGAATCCTCAGTTCTGGTCTTGCCCCTGTCACTGTTGCTGACACTGTTACTGATCTTCTTCCTATTCTTGTTTCTGTTCGTGTTCTTGGACGCATCTTCATTGTTGTTGTCGGATCTGGTTGGTGACTCAGGGAGGTTGACTTGAGCGCTTGGTCCGTAGAGCTTACGAGCCGCCGAGTCGTAGGCCAAGGCGGCTTCGTGGGATGTATCGAATGTCCCGAGCCAGAGACGGGCCCCACGGTTAGGCTCACGGATCTCGGCTACCCATTTGCCCCAAGTCCGTTGCCTAACTCCCTTGTACGTGCAAGAAGCATTCTCTGGTCCTCCTTTCCCTCTCATGCACCCTTTCCTCGAACTCGTTTGCACCGCTCGCTTGATCGCCTTTGGCTTTACCGATGACATCTGATGCCGATCGAGTTTTTTTTTCTTTCTTCTGTGAATACGCTGTTACACGATGGAGCACCAGAAAAAGATGAAGGGAAGAGTCCAATGGTATATTTACGTGAGTGACAAGGCAGAGAACGAGCAAGTGGGTGCATATATAGGAGTGATGTGGTGAAACGTGGGGTGGACAAGACATTGCTGGCAGAGACAAAGAGTACGGTCGTGTCGAAGAGGGAAGCTTTCTAGGGTTTGTGATGCCAACACTTGGCTTCTTTTTAGGACTATATGTCTTGTTACATTAGAGTTTATGAACCAAAAGAGAGATAACGAGGATGAGGTTTGATATGTAGATACGCGTGTGTATGCAAACACACATGTGTGCGTTAAAAGACGAGAGAGAGAGAGAGAGAGAGAGAGAGAGAGAGAAGGGATGGATAAGTTCATCTACGACTAGGGACGGCGAAGAGGATAATGATATCACACGTTAATCTTCTCTGACCCGATAACTTCTTCATTTGATTTTATCAAATAATTTTTTTTTTTTGTGTATAGAATGAATATTGGGCGTCAGGGTTAAGAGAATATAGTTTATTACACATTTTTACATCATGATTATAGCTAGGAAGTAAAATAAAATAGAACAAAATAATGCATCTTCTTCATGGTTTTAGTTCCCAATATACTAATAGATTAAAACCAATTATTTGAAAATTCTATTTAAAGGAGACCGAAAATTCTGCCTATCTGGTTTTTATTATTTGAAACCAATTATACCATGGAAGATGGAAAATATGATGATGCAAACTTTTAATAACAAATATATATTATATTATCCGTATTATAAAATTATATTTCTTAGATTGCATAATAAATATCATATTAAAAAATTTATCTTGTTACTAAGTAGATGTCATTCTAGATTTTTTGTTGTTTTTTAATAAAATTTTCAATTTTATTCTTAATTAAAATATTTAATCTTAATAAAATATCAATGATAATATGAATTATTGAGGATATATTTGCCTTTTCCACTACTTTTTTAACTAAAATATAAAAAAAAAATATCTGAAAATTTCTGAATTTATACTTTTGTGTAATATCAATTCCTGAATTTGTAATTATGTTTATTTATTTTCAAACTTTATTTTTTAATACAGTAATTTTTAAATTTGTTTAACAATTTCATAATCGTCTATATCACTAATTGACCAATGTAAAATTTAAGAATTGTTGTGTTCAAAAATGTAAATTTAGAAATTAATATATTTAAAAATATAAGTTTAGAAATTATTGTGTTCAAAAATATAAATTCGAAAATAAATAGATATACTTATAAATTTAAAAATTAATATTATATCAAATTATAAATTTAAAAATTTTTAGATATTTTTTCTTAAAATATTTATATATGTATGAACACTAATTTATCTGGCGGCTGAACACGCACTTTAAGGCAAGGCGTTCCCGAGACAACCAAGTTCGCCGGATCTTCCTCTTACATGATGAGTTCGACTCTGACTTTCGTATTTATTTATTTATTTTTGTTAAATATACTTTTTATGAGCAAATATACTTTATTGTGTATTTTAACATGAAATGCGAATATATGAAAAGATAATAAGGATCCAATAAAACACACGGATATTCGGATCAAATACCGACGTTGAATTGGGGGATTATCCAAAATACCCCAAATGTGCTAAAACTACTTCTAGGTCTACCCTCCACTTTTTTTTAAAAAATTCCAACTTCTAAAATACCCTTCTAAATGCATATTTCCCATTTTACCCTTTAATATTTTAATTAATATAATTTTTTTTTATCATTTTCTCTTTTCTCACCGATTTCTCTCTCTTCATTAATGTTTTTTATTTATTATTTTTTATATTTTCTCTCTCCTCATTTATTTTATTTTATTTTTATTTTTTCTGATTCTCTCTATTCTCGACACGTGTAATATTGTGACCATGTGACCTTGTGACCTTGTGACCATATAACCATGTGACCCATATGATCTTATGATCCATATCACCTCATGATCGGTATGCTCATGCGAACTATGTCTTTGTAATCCGAGACATATAGTACCAAATATCATAAATAATTAGACGTATCATATATGCGATATAATCACCGTTAATCTCTATCTTCAATAATGTCTTTGAATTTTAATATCATCAAATATGATTTTATTGTAATTTTATACTATGTGACCATTGTTGTCAATTATGACCTATGACTCAATCACCAAAGAAATATAAGTATAAATATGGTTTTTAAGTATAAATATGGTTTATACATTGTTATATAGTAAATATAACGTGTTTATAAAAAAATTTATGATATTATAAGTGATTTATACTAATAAAATAAGACCAAATTTATCTATATACGACTCGTATTACGCATTGTGACCCACGTGTGACCAATGTGACACAAGTGAAAATTTTAATTATGTGACATTATGATCGGATATTCCCGTGACCAAGTGACAAAGATAAATATAGGTCAAAACTTATTTTTTAAGTTTTGTTATAGTTTAGGAGAGAACATCAAAATCGACAATGACTAATTTAGAGTCAAGAAAGAAGCACCACAAATTTGTATAATAATTGTGTGGTGTATTTGTATTATAATGTATTACAAAACATTTGTACAATAATGTCAAAGAGTTTTGATTAATGATGTTGTAATATATTTGTACAATATAGTATTATAACTTTTATATAATATTGTGTTTGTACCATAATAATATTGTATTATTGAAGATGAATTTTCACATATATTTGACTCTATTACACACTAAATAAATGAACTCACATAAGCCAACGTTGTGACCCATTGTGACCGGCATGTGACCATGTGACCGAAGTGCAATTTTACACTGTGTGACCATTGTGACCGATTGTGACCCGTGACCGAAATGTGTTGATAAATATAGGTCAAATTTTAATTTTTAAACTTCGTGGTGGTTTATGATAGTCTATATATCAAATATATAACGTATGAGAAAATTTTCAAAATAATTTAAGGGGTTTATAGATGAAATATACCAATTTTATCAAAAGTACTCATAAAACATTATGAAACATATAGAAATACATTTGGAAGAATAACATTGAAACACAAAAATCGTAAAAACCATATTTTAGTTTTTGAAATAATATAGAATAGACTTATGAGGGATATGTAACATTATAGAGTGATTAAATTAACAAAAATCGCATGAATCGAAGGTTGTGACCGGTTGTGACCGACTGTGACCCATTGTGACCGAAATATGTTGTGGGGTCCACACGGAGAACTAGTCAGAATTTCACCAGCTTTTCATGTTTCGTGGGGCCCACAATCATTATTTATATTTTGCTTTTAATGTGGGGCCCAATTTGAATATTCAACTCTATATAATTTCTCTTTTAACCCTATATTTTTTTCCTCTCAATTTTTAACCTCAAATTTTCACCTACAACATTTTCAAACCAAAATGTTGTGTATGAGGAAATTACAAAACATTGTGAGATGTTTATTAAATTATCATATGTCTACTTTTGTACTATTTTTAACATTAAAATATTATTTATGCGATTTTTTTGTTTCAAAGTAATCATTATAAATGCTTTCCATTATGTTTTATAGTGTTTTATGAGTATTTTGAACAAATTTGGTGTCTTTGTTTAATAAACATCTCACAATGTTTTGTAATTTCCTATGATCGTGTAACTATAACACTATGTGATGTGATCATATAATCGTGTGACCATGTGATCATGTGACCGTGTGACTGTATGACTATGTCATCCATACATTCAAACATCGACCCATATGATATTGTGACATATATGACTATTCTAAATGATCTTGTGACCGAAACTTATCTATTCCACTCAATTTTAATCATAAACCCTCAAACCCAATATTCTATTTCGAAATCCCAAAATTTTAAAAAAATTTAAAATCTTAATGCTTTATCGGTCAAATCTCAAAATCACATTTCAACTCAATAGCAAGAAATCTCACTGTGTGATCTTATAACCTTATACCCTTGTGACCTGTGACCTTGTGACCTATGTGATCTTGTGACCGTGTGATCTTGTGACCATGTGATCTTGTGACCACGTGACCTTATAAATTATTCGATTTACTATTGTATTCATATAATTTTTACTTATAAGGAAGTACCAAATAAATGTGAACATTTCAAATTTTAATCATGTATTTATTTTATTTAGTTTAGAAATAGTTTATTAAATTATATAAAATTATATCAAATTAAAGTTTATAAAAAATAAAAATAATGGGTGAGAAATATCTAGCAAATTGGATTCTCTATAATATAAAATGACTGAACAAGAATTAGTTATCATATAAAGATAAATAGAAAGAAAAATTGAATAGGATTAAAGTAATAAGAGATAATATAGTTGAAAAAGAGAGAGCAAAAATATTAATGAATAATTAAATAAAATATTCATAAATAAAATATTAATAAATTAATAAATATGAAGGAAAAAATAATAAAATAAAAATGGAGAAGAGAGTTAAAAAATATAAATATTAAAGTTAAAATAAAAATATTAAAAAGAAAGCGGAGGAAGAAGATGCAATGGAATTAAAAGAAAGGAAAAATATTAATAAAATATTATATTAAATGAAGGATAATTGAGTCTTTATATTTTTATTTGGGGTTATATTTGTCTTTTGTAGTGTGAACACAATTTTTTTTTTTAATTTTTTGTTTGGAGGGTAGGAGTAGAAGTGGTTATAGGGAAGGAGAGGTATTTTAGATATATTGCCCGTTGAATTGTTCCGATTGAAAAATAAAAGGGGCAAGGAAAACAAAAAAAAAATATAGGGAAGGAGAGGTATTTTAGATATATTGCCCGTTGAATTGTTTCGATTGAAAAACTAAAAGGGGCAAGAAAAACAAAAAAAAATATATAGAAAAATAGAACGAAAACATTTTTATTTTTACATCTACTCTCTTTGAAATACAATTAAAATAATTCAAATATTTACAATAAACTCTAGCAAAATAAACAAATTAAGATACAAGTTTACAAATAAATAATATATAATGGGAAGAAATAAATTAAAAGATGATTGACAATATTAAAAATTTAATCTTAATTGATTTTGTACATATAACTTTTTAAAATTATCTCCATAAATACCAATTTCACCCGACGTAAATATAGTCTTAGTAATAATTGTTCTGAACAAAATTCTAGAAGCAAGTTTATTTCCCAACAATTTTCACTGTCAATCAAATTTTTTTTGATACAAAATGTATCACATTTATCTTCATATACATTGAAATACAGAACACAAACACAAAACACAAAAAAAAATATTTTTTTTTTATACACGATGAAAAAGAACAAGTATTATCAATATATATATATTTTTTTCTATGTGAAGTGAGAAAACCTGTAAAGCCTAACTCGAGGAGTCGTCAGTCTCCTTCTCTTCCTTCTTCAATTTGTAGACATAAGCTGAGATACTGAGAACGGCGGTGGCAAAGGCGGCGCCTTTGAAGGCATCAAAGTCATCGTCCATGAAATTGAAGAAGACAACCACAAGAGCCGACACGATGGGCCATGTGATGACGCTGATGATGTTCGAGAACACGCACGAGACGACGAACACCAAACCCACGATCCCAACCCAGTAGATCTGCCACGCCGCTGCTTGACCTGCCATTGCCAACACATACGAAGCTTTTCCCTTGGAGAACCCCTCCATCTCTCTCCTCAGATCGTGTTGTTCGCCGGAGATCAGCAGAGCCGCCGCCGACATGACGGAAGCGGCGAGGCAGGGGGAGGTCAACATCTCCATGACCACGGCGAAGCTGGGCTTCCTGTTGGAAGCTTCGTCGCGCTTCGAGATCACCGAATCGAAGGCGTTCTGTACGTTGCAGAGCAATAGGGAGAAGATTACGGCGGCGAAGAACGCCGACCACGAACCCTTTCCCCAACTCTCCTCTGCCTCGTCTGGTTCACCGCCGAAGGAGGTGGAGAGAGTGAGAGCTCCGGTGGCGATGGCGAAGGCGAGGGAGATGAAGATCCATCTATTGAATCTGGTTTTGTTGATGATTCTGGAGAAAACAGAGGTGAAGAAGAGTTGGGTCGTGTAGATGAGAGTGAAGATCCCGAACGGTATGCTGAGCTTCGCAGTGGCTGATAGTCTTCCGTGAGCCGCCATTGTTATGCCGAGGCAAGGATATATAATGGCGAGATACTTGACGGAGGGACGATCGGAAGTGATGGGTGGAGGGTTGGACTGTTTTCTGGAAGGGAAGAGGAGGAAAGGGATGATGAGGAGAGGGAATCCCACGCTCTGCAGCAGCGATTGAGTCCACGCGCCGTCGTACTGACGACTGTCGTCGTAGTCGAGGCGGTGGGTCTGATCGTAGTAAAAGTTCTCGAGCAGTCTTGCGATGGATTGACCAATGACGACGAAGGAGATGCAGATTACGATAGTCACCCATTGCCTCTTCTTCCGGTTCCCTCCGGTTTGGTTGATCAATGTCGCTGTTCCTCGTTCGATGTTCATCGGTATCTCCACGAATTCATCTGAATCCAAAACCAATAGTTAAAGATCAGGACTTTTTTCAGGAGATTGGATTTTTCTGTTAATAGGACGAGGGTCAAGAAGCAGCAATCAAGAACATAACATTTTCAGAGACCAATATGTAACAGTTGAAAGGATATCTATATACCTTGCTTGGTCTGCACATGAGGTTGATGATTCTGTGCCATGTTCCTGAGAGCTTGGGGCTGATGTCGGAAATAATCTTCAGAGAAACAAAGATTCAACTTCTTCTTCTGGATTGCGGAGATCCCTCTCTTGGTGCTATGTCTAAGATGATGATGTGTTTGTGTGTTTTGGATTATGCTTTGGGAAATTGCAAAGGGCAGGTGCTATATAAAGGTGGAGAGATTGAAGTCGGGTTTGGCGGCCAAGATCTTGAAACCGCGTAGAGAGAGAGAGAGAGAGAGAGAGAGAGAGAGAGAGAGAGAGAGAGAGGATTTTCCTCTGATTAGGACAAGAAGATTGCCATGACTTTCAAATGAAATGAGCTTTACGCGTCATAATATTAAACTAAGTTTCGTACAATCTCTGCATCCTAAGCAACTTGTTTGTTTTTTTAGAACTCCACTCACTCAATTGAATACTTTCATTTCTTTATAAGTTTTATAAATTTTTGAACAAAATTATTAAAGGCCCCTATTAATTAAATTCAATAATATGATCAAATTAATTTTGCCCCCAATTATATTTTTAACTGGGCCCGCCACTGCTCGTAATCATTAGAAGTGTTGTAATAGATTCTTAATTAGGTTTTATTCAATCTTTTTTAGGGTTTATTCCGTTTACTTAAGATTGTTCTGAATTAGAATCTATAACCGTTGGGTTTGGCAATTAGGGTTTATTCCTGTAATTAAAGATTGTTCTGAATTTGAGCCCTACGCATTCTGTTCTGTTTGATTCAATTCAACTCAGTTTTGGATTTGATTATGTTCGTTTTTTCAGTTTATTCGGTTTAATTAACAATGCTGTGAATTAGAGCCGGTAAGCATTCTATTTGGTTTTTTTTTGTTGGGATTCATTTTGGTTTAATTAAAATTGGTTTGTAAAAAATCATACCGAAGTAAACCAAATTGGATAATGATTCAATGATTTTTGTCCACACCAAATGTGTTTTCTGCAGACACGGTTAAGGTATATACAATACAGCACGTGGTCTAAAAATGAACACGTGCTTGTTTTACAGAGTCAGGCTGTACGAATTTTGAATTTAAGAAAATGTATACAACTTTGGCTATAACATAAAGTTTGAATGTATAAACACACCGATATAAAATATATGATGTTTCTTTTTCGCTTCCGTTGACCATTTGAATTTTGGTTTGACTCTGTGTACATTTAATTCCCGCTTTTGGATATACACACCGAATCCCATTTTTCCTTTGGCCACCTCAGCAAGTAAAATCTTACGTGTCAATTTCTTAGATTTTCAGATATAACTTTAATTTATTTTAAAATTAAGCTAATCTATAATACACGTACGGTCAAAGCAGACTGCAACTTGTTCAATTTCAACTGCATTTTTTTTATTATTATATGTGGGACCGGAAAAAAAAACTCGGAGGGTAATCATAGTGAAATTACAAAGTTTTTGAATTCGAACACAGGATATTATCTCAGTACAATATAAAAATTCGCATTTTAAATTTTAGGGTTTAGATATATTTATGAATATACCTTTTTGTATATAATTTTTGAAACTCGTTATTTAACTCATTATCAATACATTTTTACCTTTTTTATTCACAATTCAAGATATAAATATATAATGCTTATTTATATATAAATGATGATATTTAGATATTGTATTATGTTATTTGGTTTTAATTATTATATGTGGATGTTGTTGGATAGATTTATTTTGTATTCTTGAGAATTTTGAATCGATTTTGGATACAAATATGTTTTGAATTGATTTTGGACAAATTTAAACATATGCATTTAAAAAATGATAAAAATAATAATTGAAAACATTCGAATTCGAGCACTGACGCATATCCTGACAAAATATGCAGAGAACAATCTCGTATTATTTTCATCATCCTGCGTTGCATTCATCATGAACAAAATAACAATCAATATTGATATATGCCTAGTGCATTATTGAAATGTCGGATTCTAAGAAGTGTGTAGACTAATTATCACAAAATAAAGTTGCAAAAAACGAAACATCAATCGCGAAAATTTCAAGGATTTGATGTAACGACCCGAGCTTGCAACATGTATTTGTCATAGCGCGATATTCTGCCTCTGACGATGATCGCGAAACGGTACTATGTTTCTTCGTCTTCTATCAAATAGGAGATTGACCAAGTAAAATGATGTAACCAGTACCTGGACGGTGTGAAACACGACATCTAGGAATTTTTGCTTCGCACAAAACTGAGAGAGACCGAGTGTCCGTTGTCTTGCCATATCCCATGATGCCTCAACAATGGTTAGGAAGTTCAAGACAACATCAACAACAAAATCGCCTCATTCCCAAGTTTATCTGGAGTCGTCCGCTTGAATCCTTCTTCTCCACTCATTTCGATCTCGGTTTAACTCTTTCGGAATCTGCAACACTTCCAAATCGTTTCTAATGACACGCTCCCAAGTAAGTCTATATCTATACTCTCCATTTTTCTAACTGGCGCATCTATCGGCCTACGTTATACATGTCCAACCCATCTTAAACGCCCCCATACCTTCTCTTCGATACCTATTACTCCTATTTTCTTTCTAATAATCTCATTTCTAATTCTATCTATCATTGTGTGTCCGCACATCCATTTCAACATATTCATAAGAAGTTCAAGAATTTAAAACATTTAGTTAGGCTAATTTGATTGGGCAAAGAGGAACGATCATCACATGTGTAGGGGGCTTCAAACGTTGCGTAATTCTCAGGGAAATTCAAAAGCCACGAACCATTCATCAATGCCCGATCTAACTCCTCCGCAATAGGATTCTCAGACCATGTAGATAAGAGTCCTTGAAATGCAAGTTCGAATATTTCGATTTTCCGAATGCATTCTCTAAAGCGAGCCATTGAAGGAGTTAAACTGCAAAACGTACCAGAGAAATGCTCGTCCGGGTGCAATGTCTCATTGAAGTCTCCGAGGACGATCCATGGAAGTGACATGATTATGGTGGATAGCTCTGAGGCTATCCCAAGTTACCTCCCTCTAATGAACTTGTGTTCATGGCATAGACAGTTGATTAGTGAGACCGAGTAGGGGTGTTTCCAAAGAAACCAGATACGACCGTTATCTGCTTTCGAGTAATTTGATATACAACTCCAGTCAAGTCCTGTCACTGGGAGGATCCGAGGCGTATTCAACTCTAGCACGAGTCTCCAAGATTGCACCAAAATAAAGAGAATGTCGTCGGAGGAGATCCTTCACCGTTTATTAGGACTATTGAATCCCCTTATTGTTCCAAGCGAAACAATCCATATGGTTTTAGAGGAAGGGGATGAGGGAAGGACCCGCATGAGTCAAGTAAAACCCTACTTGATCATTTCAGTCATAACCCTATCGGAAATCCAGCATCCACAATTACCAAAACTCTACCATAGTCTACTACGGGTACATCTGCAATATTGAATATAGATATGTATCCCTCAGTATGTACCCACATTCTTCTAAAGAGTGGTTTACAAGGCTGATTACCATATAAGCTCTTATGCCTTATCCGTGTTCTCAGTAAATCTCATCCATGTCCTAGATTCATCACCAAAACATCAATTCACCGATGAATGTCGTTCACTTTCTAGACAAATACTTCGACATCAGGAGTTCCCGGATTTCATTCTACAAGGCTCTGGTAGTAAAATAAACTTCTGGGTATCGAAAATTCAAGTCGAGCTAGCTTTCCTGAGATAGCATTATCACAGCATAGTTCTGGTTTCCAATGGAAATGCCACCAAGAGCCTCGAAGCAAGCAAAGTCATCCATAATCTCAAAGTAACCAAACAATCCTATCCAAGACCCATCATCCCATCTCCTCTCTACCATCAAAATTACTGTGATCTACTATGATCAAATCTTGCAATCTTTATACAGTTTTATAGAATTTCGTGTACCCTATTATTCCAGGAGCATGAAACACAGCAAAGAAAGAGGGACCATAGAATTTTAGGTACCGCTAAGAAGATGGGAAGACATCCTTCACCGCAGAAGCAGCAGTCAAGTAATTGAGTGTATTCCTCAGTGTCTCCCTCTCCCTCTTCAACCTCGCCGCAGTGTCTTCGAGCTCAAGCAGCGCCTGCTGCTCCCTCGGGGCTCCTTCGAATGTGCTCCCGACGAAGAACGAGAATGACGTCGGAAACTGATTCCTCCTCAGATCCTGCACCTCCTTCTCCGGCTTCCCGTTCAATCTGTTCGACAATCGAATCACCTCCTTCATCAAAGCCTCGACCTCGTTGGCCAGAGAATCCAGATTCTCCTCCTCCAATGGCCGGTCCTCGAGCCACGTCACCTCTGCGACAAGGTAGGGTTTCGTACGGACGAGATTCGTGACCCGGAACCGCTCCTGTCCCTTGCAGATGAGGAAGAATCGGTCGTCGACGAGCCGCTCGTGCTTGACGACCTCGCCGACACAGCCTACATCGGCTGCGCTACCGGAGACATCGTCGGAGTAGATGACGCCGAACCGGAGATCGGTCTGTAGCAGCGTGTGCATCATGATTCGGTACCGGAACTCGAAAATCTGGAGCGGGATGATCGCGCCGGGGAAGAGAACGAGTGGAAGAGGAAACAGAGGAAGCTCCGTGACGTCATCGGACTTCGCCGGATTCGCGTTGTGGTGCTTCTCCGAGAACGACCACGACGAGCAACGGAAGGAGGCAAGCTTGCATCGTCGGCGATGGAAATTCCAGCGAAACGACGGCGATGGCGAAGGGGAAGGAAGAGATCTAGGGTTTAAGAAGAATTTGAAGGAAGAAGTGGGAATGATAGAAGACGAAGAAGGTGGTGAGGAGACTGGGGGGAGAAGCGCCATTGCAGGAGACAGCCGCGAGAAGCAAAAAAAAAATCGAGAAATTTTGATTCCTTGTAAAATAAATTATTTTCTCTTTTTTAAATACAATTTATATATATATATATACACGGAGAAGAAATGATTTTGTGGATAATAAATGAAAGGAGAGGAGAGGAGGTCCGAATTATCCATCTGAAAATTACAAATAACGCACGTTTCTCTAATCACCCAATGTATTGTTTTACATTATATGATTTTGGTGGTTTGCTATAATTACAGATATATGTATCACTTAGGGGTGTAAATTACACGAATCAGGTCGGGTTCGGGCCGGACTTAGTTCAGACTTAGTTTTTTTTGGGTCTAGTCGGTCCGTCTATTTATTTTTAGAGTCTATGATCGGTGGCCCGAAGTCCAGTCCTATAGGACTTCGGGCGGGTTCAGACTAAATTTCGAGTTTTTTCTATTTAATAAAAAATAAATATTAATGTATAATAATAATAATAATAATAACAATAATGTTGAGTTATGTACACATGAATTACAATTAAAATATTTTAAATCTAAAAAATAATTATGTAAATTTTAAATCTAATATTTTTTATATCTATGATATATGAAAAAGATATTTCATACAATAATAAATACAGAAAAATATTGAGATAAAATTTAAAAATCAAAGTTAAACTCATAATATATATATATATATATATATATATATATAAATTGCTTTGAAATATAAATGTATATATAAACATAGAAATAAAAGTTTTTATATAATGTTGTGTGATATTATATATCGAGTGAAAATAGAAATCTAATAATATAATATTTTTTAGGCTAAATGGACGGGTCGGACGGATTTCGAGTGGAACTCGATTCGGGCCTAAATTTTTTTGGGTCGGGTCTACCCTCTCATTTATTTATCGGATCTATATTATTAGGCCAAAGCTTTAATTTTTCGGGCGGATTTTGGGTCGGGTTCTATTGACACCCCTAGTATCATTTATATTGAAAAGAATTAAAAAATATTTATAGATATTGAATAGAGATATTTAAAATTACTTATCTCAATTCTTTTTGTTATTTTGATTATATCGGATATGAAGGAAAATGAAATAAATATTTAATTGTTGAAATGCCGCACAAATGGATTATATAGCACACGGAAACTGAGACAAACCTTACAAAGGAAAAAGAACACAAATGGGTTATAAAACATTTATTTTGATATATATATATATATATATTCAACCAAAAAAAAACCATGGGAATGAAGAACAACAATGGGAAGTCCAAGATTTACACACTGGATTTTATCGGTGACCTGATGCAATGTGGCTTGATTCGTAGCTTCTTCTCGAAGGGTATAAGCTGTCGACCAAAGTCAACACCACGCCCATGACATTAATGCCTTGTTCTCTCCGATTCTTTGCACACAAAACGTTTACAATAATTGTTCCATATGCTCCGTGTTTATACCACTTATACAACAGAAAGATGCCAATGGAATCTGACAGTTTAAACGAAAAAATGAAAAAACTATGTATCTTTTAGGGCCGTCACTCGGACCGACCCGTCCCGACCCGAGTCCGCACTCAGCCCCAGGATTTCGAGTTCAAGTTCGGGCCAATCAGATTTTTTTCGGGTTTAAATAACTAAACCCGATTTGAGTCTGGCCTAAAAGGTCGAAAATTTTCGGGCCTATCTTTCGGATCGGAATGGGTCGGACTTCGGGTCTCAGACCAAAATCGGCACCGGTAGTATCATTTAACAAAAACAATGTGCAGATGTAACCGCATGAAAGAAAAACAACGAACAAATGGTACTTTTTGTTCTCTTCTTGGGAAAGATTGATTGATGCTCCTAAGGATCTGATTCTCTTGTTAATTTCATGATTTTCCTTTGGTAGTGGACGCCAATACATATGCCTTTTGCATGCATTCCAACTATGTGATTTGATATGCTTTTTGGGAGAATCCCTCACCCTCTTCCGACCTTATAAATCTGCTTCAAATCTTTCGGCTATGTACCCATTGCAGTAGTCAGCCATCTCTTTTTACTTCCGGCTTTCAAAGATCCGCATAATTCGAAGAAGAAAAAAAAACATGGTATGAACATTTTTGGTTCCTTGTCCTCATTCTTTAGAATTCTGCACTGTCTGGTTAACACGGGAGACGTTGCTGCAGAGTGTTGAAGGCCTCGGGAAGAAAGCGACGTCGGCCGGTCCATGGGGAGGCCAAGGCGGCTCTTCGTGGGATGATGGAATGTTCCGCTAAGGCAAATAGTTATATCCCATGGATCTGGTATTGACTCCATCCAAATTGAGTATGACAAGGACGGTGGATCTGTTTGGGGAGACAAACACGGTGGAAAGGGGGGCAACAAGTTTGACAAGGTCTTGTCTCTTCCACACTCTTGTTCCTATGAAATCTTGCGAGTCTACAGAAACTGAATGCTGTTTTTGTTTTGTTGAATGCAGGTTAAACTTGATTATCCGGATGAATATCTAACTTCAGTGCATGGAACCTATGGAAGCTTTGAGCTCTGGGGCCCTTTATGCATCCGATCCCTTATCTTCGAGAGTAACCGTAGAAATTACGGGCCATTTGGTTACGAGTACGGTACTTATTTCTCGTTGCCAAAGTCGGGGTCGAAAGTTGTCGGGTTCCATGGCAAGGCTGGTTGGTATCTCGATTCCATTGGTGTTCACCTCCAACCTCTTCCTCACAAGGAAAACGCGTCGAAAACCGCTTCGCAGTCACAGTACCAAGGAAGTGCTGGCCAAAACTACGATATGGTTTTCGCTATCAGACACAAAGACTCCCCATTGCTACCTTCTGTACCCCGAGACCAAGCAAGTGCCATGGCCAAACATAAGGTTAGGAGACGAAACTTTTACTTTCAAGAACATTTCAAACACATGATTATTGATTTCTTGGGGATGAATTGACAGTAATAAGTTCCTTTTTTAGTCGGCAGATCCCGAGAAGTCACACCCGAAAACCGAAGGTGTTGAAGGTGGCAAGATGTATGGACCCTGGGGTGGAACTGGTGGAGCCATGTTCGATGATGGGAATTTCACCGGTGTCAGACAAATCAATTTGTCACGCAATGTGGGAATCGTATGGATAAAGGTTTGCTACGATCGTAACGGGCAGATTGTTTGGGGAAGTAAGCACGGAGGCGCGGGTGGATTTAGACATGACAAGGTGGATCACTAGCTTCGCATTAGATCTAATCTTCTGCATAAACTCGTCTCATAGCCTCATTCTCTTCCTCTATCTGTCTCTGGTGTAACGTTCACATGCAGATTGTATTTGACTACCCGTCCGAGGTTTTAACACACATAACCGGAACTTATGGCTCGCTGATGTACATGGGACCGAACGTGATCAAGTCACTGACTTTCTACACCAACAAAGGGAAGCATGGACCTTTCGGAGAAGAACAAGGACCCTCTTTTACGCACAAAATAGGCGAAGGAAAGGTTACTGGATTCCTCGGGAGAGAGGGTTTGTTCCTCGATGCCATCGGTGTACATGTCTCCGACTGCAAAATATCGCCCCTCAAGCCATCTCCTTGTAGTGCAGTTGCTCCCCACAACTCCCAGATAGTTGAAATAGACAATTCTCCATGGGCTAACAAGTTAGCTCTTGCGGCTCGTGGGCAATCCGAAGAGGTAATTTCGCTCATATAACCAAGTTTAAAACTTGCCTTGGTAGAATCTTAACACTGTTCGAACTTTACTTTTTGCGTGACCATCACTTTCATCTTAGACTTAATTGCCTAAGCCGTTCTCAGGCTTCAAGTGGAGTGGTCATTGAACCAGCTGCACCATGCGGCCCTGGCCCCTGGGGAGGCAATGGAGGTAAGGCATGGGACGATGGTGTGTTCTCAGGGATCAAACAGATATTTGTGACAAGAGGGGAAACCAGCATCTCTTCCATACAAGTGGAATATGACATGAACGGTCAGTCAGTCTGGTCCGTGAAACATGGTGGCAACAATGGAGTTTCCACGCACAGGGTAAACCGGTTTCCGACCCGTAACCCGAGTCCCAATTCCATAGCCTCTCTTCATATCTTCTCTCGGGTTTAACGTTAACATTGCCAACACACATCTCTGCAGATAAAACTCGGGTTTCCGTACGAAGTCCTGACCTGTGTTTCCGGGTACTATGGTCATGTGAGCAATTCAGACACGACGGAAGCGGTGAAGTCGTTGACTTTCTACACGAGCAGAGGGAAGTACGGTCCGTACGGCGAAGAAAAGGGTACATTTTTCACGTCAACCACAAAAGGAAAAGTGGTGGGGTTCCATGGAAGGAGCGGTTCCTACTTAGACGCCATTGGAGTTCACACGCAGCTTTGGCTTGGGAACAACCCTAAGCCTTACACCAAGCCTTCTCGTTTCAAGCTCTTCTGAATCTTCAGCAGGGACCTGTTTGGCTTTCACTGTTTGAAGGAAATTTACGTATTTATATAAAATAAAATAAATAGTTAAAATAAAACGTATGAATGGAATGAGCTGTTTTGTATTAAATTTTTGAATAATAATGACACTGATATTAAAATGCTATTGCATCTTGTGGTAATGACGTGGATTTCTTTAGAATACAAGCATTTATGGTAAATCTTTCGTCCTTGTATGGATTTTTTCTCTCTGGTATTTTTCTTCTAAATCGTTCTTATTTTTTGTATTTCTTTCAATTTTGGTTTTAGTTTGTAATTCAGTATCTGATTTGTGTTTCATATTTTTCAAAATTTTCCTAAGCGAATTTTAAGATTTTGTCGGTTAAAAAATCTTTTTCTAATAATCAAATAAATTGACCGGTGATACGATTCTGATCTACAATAAATACTTAAATATATCGCCATATACAGTACATGGTTTTATATATATTATAAAAAGATTGTGTTCGATTTTTTGTTTATAACTGAGAGATTCACCTGGACCTTCGACCCAATTTACATCTCTTCGGACCCGCGAGCAGCCTTTAGAGTACATCTAATGGCCCAGAGAGCAACACCTTAAATGCATCTCTCCATCTCCATCAGTTGGTTTC